TGTTGGACAGTCACAAACAATACATAAGGACGATCGTGTTGGACAGTCACAAACAATACATAAGGACGATCGTGTTTGACAGTCACAAACAATACATAAAGACGATCGTTATCGCGGGCAGGTGAGTGTTGTCGCTCGTGTGCTCACCCTGAGGATGCCGAAGATCTTGGGGCTGCTGGACGAGATGAGCGACATAAGCAGGTCCACGATGGAGATGATGACGAGCGAGCCGTCCATGATGTTCCAGCCCGAGGTGAAGTAGGCCTCCTTGCCGTACAGCATGTTGCTGGCGATCACCTTGACGATCATCTCCACGGCGAACACCGCCGTGAACACGTAGTTGGCCGTGGCGAGGAAGAGGCGCTCGCGCGAGTGCGGCGGGATGTTGGGCCGCTCCATGGCCAGCGTGATGCAGTTGAGGCCGATGAAGGCGAGCACCAGGTTGTCGAACCAGCTCCTCTGCACCAGGCCCTGGCACCACAGGCGGATCTTGTTGTCCGGGTGGAAGAGCCACAGGGAGTAGTCCTCGCGCTCCTTGAAGCAGCCCGTCGGCTCGAAGATGTAAAAGATCTTGGGCTCCGGGACGGGCGGCGGCGTGGCGGTGGCCACCTCCTCGCCCTCCTCGCTCATGTCCAGCGCGTGCGACTGCAGGTGCTGCAGCTCCTGCTCGGGGACAAGAAGGCCACAGTCACTGCCCTGCTGCCAAGGAGATGCGCGGGAGCGAGCCGCGTCTGAGGTCGTTCCGATACTACTTGACTTTCAGGCAAGGGGTACAAATACTATGGGGTTCCAAAAGGATCATTGAAGCCCGTAGGACACCAAAATATTCGTATCCCAGGGTACAAATACCATGGGGTGTCTATGGGCTCCAATGATATTCCCGACCTTTTTGAGACCCTATAATAATTGTAACCCCTGAAATGTCACGTAGTATTCACGACCGCTCTTTAGATTACCGACCTTGAGCTGCTGCTGCAGGATGGACGAGCCGAGCGACAGCGAGCGCGTGCTGAGCGGCGCCAGGGGGTCGAGCATGACGTCACAGTGCGAGTCGTAGCCCTCGGCCAGCAGCAGCTGGTTCACCGCCTGGGCGTGCGCGCGCGCCGACGCGCTCAGCTCCTCGTACTGCAGCGAGTTGGAGCGCCGGCTGCTGCTCCTACAATGAGCGGACCAGCAGCACCCTTGAGAAAGGACGCCCCCAACGGCCGACCTCGACACAAAATACTGGACTGATGACAAAGATACGTACACGTAGGAGCGCGGTGGACTGACGGTGATGGTCGTGGGGATGTCCGGCTCGCTGGGGATGTGCACGGACAGGGGCCCGAGCTGGTGCGGGGAGGACGGGACGGTGCCGGAGGCGGTTCCGGGGACGGCGCCGGG